AGATAGTGTTTGCCAAACAAAGGGTTTTGGAAGAAGGCTCACAGACACTGCGATCACTATCAAGTCCATCAGACTTTTCTTTAAAAAACTGCTTTGTCTCCTTCAAAATCATGGAATTTGGTGATAAGTATTTGACAGAATTGCCACTAGCTTCTTTACACTGGGAGGTAGTTTTGGGATCTATGTCTTTTGACTGCCAATGCGCCTGACTTTCCTCACTTTTAGATGGTTTTACTGCCATGATAGGACGCTGAGAATATGGGCGGCATTCATTACTTAAATTTCTTTCCTCCTTTTGCAAAACTTGCCCTGAGACAAAAGATTTGTGGGGAGGAAAATCTGGGTCTGCTAGTGTCTTCTGGTGGTTAGGAATCGCAATTAATTCGTTTAAACTTTGTAAAACCCGTAGCGTTCTTATTTTGATGTCAGGACAAAGGCCAACAGGGGCATTTGGATTAGTATTAACCGTAGAAGTTTGGAGTTTTTTATTAAAAGGAAGATCATCTGTAGGTGTTGAGTTTTCAGTCACATTGTGGTCGTCTTCAAAATCAGTGAGATCACCAGTGCTTCTGCTGGGGCTTGAACATGAGTTTGAATCATGAGGTTTTTCGTCAATCGTAGGCGTTGGGGACCTGCTATCAAATTCTTCCCTAAACATTTCTGGCGTGTAGGTTTCATCAATAAGTGATGATTTGCAAAGGGATAGTTCTCCCTCAGTGCTAATATTTGATGGGACAGACATTTGGTCAGGTAGTTCAGCTATAGGTTTAGTAACATCACTAATTAAGGGTATTGGTTTCTGATCTTGAACAACGTTTTTTACCTGGTCTTCAGGGGGCACATATACCTGATCCACATCTTTGGTTGGGTGAGTTGGATTTAGAACCAAATTCAAACTTTTGCTCAACCCGCTACTTGTTTCATCTGTTTTTGAATCAGTCTCGTCAGTAAGCTGTTCATCAACCTCACACACATTATTGCCTTCACATTTGGATGGAGACTCCGGTACTTCTAGTAGAGTTTGCTCAAGATTTTTCTCTTCACATTCAGAATTGGATTCTAAACTTTCGTCTGATGTTTCCGATTTGTTTGGGGATTCAACACTGTCCTTTTCCTGAGGGAAACATGGAGCTGTGGGAGAGTCATAGCTACCCTCACATGAGATGGGTAATACCACCTTCTGACAGTCTGTATTGTTTATATCCAAGTCTTCCTGTGATGCAGTGTCTTTAAGTTCAGGTGCCATTTCTGATGGAGAGCTAACAGTTTCAAAGGAGGGACTTTCATGTTTGGACACACTGGGATTTACATACAGTGAAGAGTCTTCCATGCTGACTGACAATGGCAGCTGTTCATCTACTTGACTATTCTCTGAAATGTAACCCTGCTGTGAAAGACCTCCACACAGTTTGGGTAATGACTCATTTCTCAAGTCCCTATCAATGTCAGCATTAGAAATCCAGCTTTTGTTTTTATCACCATCTTTTTTCACACAAACATCCTCATTTTTAAAATCTTTCACTGTAGCTGTTGTGCAACAGTCCATATTTCCTTCTTGATTGTCAGTCTTGTCTAGACTTTCCTCACCTGGCAGCTTTTCATGTACATAATTTCCATTACAAACAATATCAGATTCTTTGTTCACAAATTCATCATTTCTCTTCGTCAGATCCGGAGAAGAACCTCTACCGCCATCCTGGCAGATTTCCTTCTCCTGTAGTCCCACGCCTGTATGAATTACATTGCATTCTGCTCCACTGTTTTCTTCCTTGTCCATAACAGATGTGAGTGAGCACAATGCATCTTGGAGGGGCAAGTTCCTTACTGTACACGCTTCATTTTCAATGCCAACTTTCTTGACGCTGATGTCTTTGCTGCTTTCGTGAAGCACAGGTTCAGTTCCAAGTGTAGCTCCGTCAGATTGAGGCTCAAAGGGTAAATTCCTCATCACCTCTGATTGACAAAATATGTTGTCACACTTAGAAGAAGGTGCTTCATTGTGATCAAAATGTAATACTTTGTTTTCAGTTTCAGCTGTTTTATTCTTGATTTTTTCATCATCTTTGACCTCACTGGAAATATCTCTGAAATGCACCATCTCTTTGTCGAGCTGTAAAAGAATGTGGGAAAGAAAGAAAAAAAAATTACATTTAAAAATTAGTACCGCCTCTGTGATTTAAAAAATTACCATTTAAAAATGCAGATGTTTTACAATATATTCAAAAGATTACCAACAACACAGTTCATAAAAACACAATAACTAGGTATAAATTGTGTTGAAATGTGTAGACACAGAAATTTTAGAAAATGTACGACTTAATGTGAAAATGTATTGTTGGTTAATCCTAGGACTATTATGAGTTTCTCATAAGTGGTTCAAACATTATTGTTTTAACAAGACAGAATCACAATCAAGAGTCAAGGAGACTGTTGTTCCTGTTGTTTACTTTGTCTATTTTTTATCTGCTTGTCCTTTTATCATTTATAATTATTTTTTTTTCTCATCTAACAGTATGTAGTCCTTATTTTTCTTGTACAAGCACTTTGAATTGTCTTTGGCTGAAAGGTGTTATATAAATAAAGTTGCCTTGTCTTGCCTGATAGCATGTCTAAGTGGACCAAATAAATAGGTAATCACTTAAAATGGCTGCCATACTGACTGATAATTATAAAACAGTCACTGAAGCTAACAACAATGCACACCCTTAACACTTTCTTGTTAACTCACATTTGTTATTATCTCTTCTGGCCTGGCTGTTCAGAGAAACAACAATGGGTAATCAACATCAAACCTGTTTCACTGATTGGGTCACCTCAAAACAGTCAGTCTCTTAGGCAAGATTTGAAGATTGTACCTTCACAAATGGCTATACTAACCATTTATTTCAATTTTACTGGTATGTCACCAAACACCAGCCTAACATGTGAATGCCAACTACCCAATGAATGAGAATGCATATTTTTGTTAAGTATTCTCCAGATGTTGTTAATAATTCATTTGCCCTTATTGCTTAACGACTTGCAGTTGTCCCTTCTAGTTAAACGAGTCTCTGACATCTCATGAGGTATTACACCCCCTCACATTCTTTTTGGGCAGGTCTTTCAAGTTTGTTCAGATTCAATGGCCTTGTGGCCGGGACTTTCCATCTTTAGCTCAAGTTTCAATTGGATTCAAGTGAAGGCTTTGTGCAAGTCAGTAAATAATTAGTGTGGTCTTCTAAATGTGGTTCTATACCAGCAGTGATGTGTATTTTTGGACTTTTCAGACCCAGGTTTGATGATCTGTATCTCAGGTTTTAGAAAAGGATTTTCACACATCCTTCTTTCTTCACAGTGCCTTCCAAGTTGACGAGTTCTGGGTTCCCTTCGCACTTAGGGCTCAACAATGTTTTACTGCAGGACTGGTTTTCTTTCAGCTATCGACTTCATCCTTATTTCTCAAAACCCAGAAAAGACCTTTAAAGAGCTCTAGTTTTGTCTAAACTGATTTGCTGAACTTGGTTCCATGCTTTCCTTAGCCAAACACATCATGGCTTTAAATAATAAATTTGACTCTTTATAGGTCTTTGTAGGAAAACCTCTTTTCTGTGTGGACAGCATAAGCCACCCCTAAACCTCTGATGTTTATAAACGTTATTTTAAAATTGTATTGCTCAATTCAACAGCAAATATATTCTATTTGATACAGTTAAAACAATGCTATTTTTATAAGCAGGATAATAAGAATGCTTTCAAATTTATGTAAACCAATGATGGTCATTTTAACTACAGCAATAAGTAGTTTTTTCTTTAGGAGACTGTGCAAGTGTTTTCAACTCCAGGCAAACAGACTCAGAGTGGCCATTTATTAGGTCTACATCAAAAAGGTAATCTCAATAATTTTTTTATGATAATAATAATAAGAAAGCCAAACCTGAAATGCTTCTTTCTCCTGCAGGCCAGGTGATGGCTTCATAGCACTCAATGCGTTTAAGGGCTTGTTGGGCACAAGAGTCACTTTCTTGCTGGGTTGTTGCTCCACTGAAACCCGTTTCACTTCCAAGTTTTTCACTGACAAATCCAAAATTCCAGATTCTGGTTCTGAGACAGCATTGTCTTTTTTGCTGAGGTCCAACAGTTTTGAAGCCTCTACGTCCGGAGTCTCTGTTATTCTTGAAAGATCCACAGGTGAACACATCTCAGGCTCATGCTTAGTTCGGCCTGATGACGTTCCACTGGCCATATCCACAGATCCACTCTTCTCTGAACATTGCTGCATCAAAGTTGGATCCACTTGAAAGAACCTGGATGTTGACCGGCTGTAAAACAAACCTATCCACATGTGGAAGATGAGTCGCACTTCTTCAGCAGTGTCTTGGATGGAGAAATCCCAAGGCCTATTGAAAATGTAACAAATATTATACATCACCAGGAAATGTTTAGCAAAACATAAAATTATCCTTCATTAACTACCCAAATATGAAATTAAACCTACCCGTGCAAAGCTCGAATGATGACTTTGTCCTTTGCATCACTAGTAAACCTGCTGTCTAGATTGAAGTTGTAGTTTTCTTCCCATTTTCTTGTGACTTGAATGGATTTCTCCTTCATTACAAAGGTGCGAGAGTGTTTTAACTTTCGCCGGTGCTTCTGCAGGTTTTCTGGAGTCTTGCTGTGTTCATTTATGTCTCCCGTACTGACAGAAGGGTGTAGTGTTTTAGCTCCATCGCCATACATTGACTGGTGATGGTTCAGCAGTCTGGTCGAACCACTTAAAGGTGGTACCTGGAAGGTTGTACCTGACAAATCCAACAGTAGAGAAGATGGGGGCAGTGAGTAAGCATGATCTGTAGATATCAGAGAAACCAAATTATTTTCTGTCACAAGGGAGCATTTTGAAGGGGACTCGAGAGACTGAAGGGCTCTAGCGGCAGGATTTTTAAGCAGAGCGTGGAGAACTGACTCTTGATCAGCACTGGAAAGACTTTTTGAAAGGTCACATTTCTTCGCACTGTCTTCAGGCGTTCTTTCAAGTGTCTGACTCAGCTGTGGAGGGATTTTGTCATTACCGAGTGCCAAGTCAGCAAGTAAGTTCAAAGCATCTGTAGATGTGCAAGTACTTTTCATTTTTTCTTTAACAGTCTTCCTGACAGTTTTATCACTAGTACAGTCATTGTATTTTTTTTCAGATGTAAAACAAGCTGGAGTTTGAAAATGCAACCACCCTGTGAAGACAAAACAGAAGAGAAAAAGAGAAAATGCATGAAGGTAAAAAGTAGCACATTGAAAGCACATAAAATACACCTTTGTTTAACGATAAATTTGTCACCAACAGATATTGTCAATGTTTCACAAAGGAGGTGTAAGCTTTATTTTGTCAACCGTGGCATGCTCTGACATAACAAGCAAAAGTGTTGCATTAGCAAAGAAAAACAACATTTTAAAGTGCATAAAGACAGCAAAGAGTAGCAACAGCATGCCTGGGATAGTTACAGAGTTGACAGAGCCAATGAAAGAGCAAGCTGGTATCAATGTCAGACATTTGCATCACAGCCCAAGAGTATCTGGATCTAAATAATTGAAAGACATGACTTACATTTCTTTTTAACGTTTTCAGCAGAGATGCCCTGATGCCTTTTCAGAGTCTTAATTCTACTTCTCCTTGGGAAAATTGATAGAGGCCTTTGAATTATTTGTGGCTTTTTGTCAAAGGGGGTATGTTCCTCTTTCTCTGTAGAAACTTTCCTCAGCAGAGTATCCACCTTCTTATTTTTTTGAACATTTTCTAGATTCTCTTTAGGAGTCAAGCCTAAGCAATATGCAAAAAGAGGGTCAACTGATGCCACTTTTGAAACATTGACACTTTGAGGAGTTGCATTATTACCCTTGGGCATCTCAGTGTCAGAGTCCACTTTGCTTTTCTTAAAACAAAAGTCACTTTCTTGGTCAACATGTTCCCTCTTTTGTGGTTTTGTCGGGAAATCTAACTTTCTTTTTCGTCTTGAAAGAACCGACTTTAGTTTGCTAAGAAGGAATTCCCCTTTAGGTGAAAGCTTGACTGGAGGAAAGATTTCAAGCTGTTTGGTTTCAATCGTTTTTGATAAATTATTTGGGTCATCATTTCTTGGAGAAACAGAACGAAAGTTAGGAGTCAATAGTACTCGCCCACTATCATCAGTGGGCGGTGTTAAAATGTCTTTATGATCAGGCTGACGGTTTTCATCATCGACAGTGCTTGTGGATGTGGCTTCAGCAACTGTTGTCTCTGAAGCTGAGCCAAGTTGCTTATCCATTGTGACTGGGTCAGGAAGAGTCACAGGAACATCGTGCAAGACCTTTTCAGGGCACTCGTCTTTTTTTGCACACTGCACAGACTTGGCTTGCACAACAAAATCTACAGAGCCAAAAGGAAGCAAAATCCTCCCACATTCACTCAAGACAGGCTTCAAGTCCCAGCGCTCCATTTTCTTTCTTAGAGGTAAGAAACTATCCCCTTGGAAACTCGCCAGTCCAACATCTGGTTTCGTCTCTTCAGTTTTGCCTGAATCAACAGCAGATCCAAGTTTGTTATTTTTTGATGATAATTTACCAAATCTGCATTTCCGTCGATGAAGTTTTTTCCACTTCGGTTTTAAAGAACTTCTCAGCTGAGGAAGATTTGATTCCTCATTGTGCTCCTGTGTCTCGCGGTTTAAATGTTCAACCTTAACCGAGGAGACATCAGTCTTTAGAGTACAAGCCTTGACAGAAGTCCTAGAAACCTTCTTTTTCACCACAGAATATATTCTTCGTCGTTTCTTTCTTTTTGTACTCTTTTGGTGTTTGGTGACCTGAGGGAAATCCAAACACTTTTTTGCTTTGTCAGACTCATCAATGACAGAGTTTACTTCTGCTGTTTGTAACTTAGCCATGGTTGAAAGATCAGAAAAATTAAAGTCAGTGTGCTTGGATGTCGATACTTCATCTGGAACTTTTCGCTCTGCTGAGGTTATGCTGACAATGAGTTCTGCAGGAAGATCCTCTGATGTTGGAGGAATTAGTGGGTCTTGAGCTCCTGGATCATCAGCTTTGTTAGGTTGATCAGTGAGGTGAGCGCATATTGGATCATCTTTGGTAACAATGTCACTCTGCAAATTGTCTGACACAATATCCTGAGACATGGGTATTGTAGCAATTTGAAAAGCAGGACTTGGAAAATCACTATCCATAGAAACTCCAGTTTTACGAAGCGATTGCTCATCCGAAGACTGGTCTTCTGCTTCCATGCAAACTGGGCTACTTGGCGCCTCTTCTGGTGATGACAGACAGATGTAGACATCATCATCAAGCTCCTCTCTTTGCTCCTCTTCTCCTGATGCCAATATCTCTGAAACCTTAGCTATTGGAAGTTGGAAGGAGTCTGGTTTTGTCAGGTATGATTTAAAGGTTTCCCATGTTCTGTTATTCCATTCAGGAGACAAATAGAGATGTCTGTGCGCTTCAGGCACGTCATAATGATCTGGAAACATCCCTAGTTCCCTTGAAGGTCTTGAAGGACTTGAAGAAAATCCTGGATTTATTAAAGTGGCATAGCTTTGCATGTGATCAGTCAAGACTTCACAAAGTTCATCCTTTGGATCCATGGGTGTTTTTTCAGCTTCGCCCTCAGCGTAGCTTAGCACTGGTAGAATACGTAGAATTTCAGATGACAGGGGACAGGTTTTCTCTTGAAATTTTGTGTCTGCGACAAATAAAAAAAACAAACACATTTTTGTGTTTAGTTTTGTAAACTTTTATGACAGAAAAACAATTGTAATTAGTCGAGTAGTTTAGAGAGCCTGAGACAAAAGTCTTTGCCTATTCCTCTTCACTGAAAAGTTCAAGCTACGCCATACAATGACTAAAAGATTTTGAACCTGCAGTCTTGTCTAAAATGTTCTGCATCCTCTTGACATGTTTCTTTATTGGATACTCCTGTATTTAGCTCTCCATTTCCCTGCTAAGAAAAAGCATGACACCCACAGCTGCCACTACAAAGCTCAATGGTGGGGATAGTGTCTTGAGGAAAATATGTAGTATTAGTTTCCAGCTACGCAGCACTTCACATTATGTTAAAATCATCAAATTTTGGCTCACTGGATGAGCGCGCCCTTCTTTGTCCGCCATGGGTTGCGGCAAACTATTGATTTTAATTGTTATGGTTTTTCTGGAACATTGAGTTTCTTTTTGCCGATCTACCACAGAGGCCAGTTTTGTTAAGTAGTCCTGACAACAGTTTCACCTCCCACCTGAATATTCATACAGCTTCTGTTAAAGCATTAATATGCTTTAACATCTCAAAGCTTTGTTGAAGTGACAAATCAAATTTTGATTTGTTACTTCAAACTTTGATTTGAAGCAATAAATCAGAGTTTGTTTCTTCAAGTCAAACTTTGATTTGAACCTCTCCACAACTTTATTCCTGGCCCACATTTAAATAACCCACATATTGACTATTCACCAATTTATTGGGGCAATTGGTTGCACTGGATTTAATTTAGTGTAGGAATAAGCGTAGAATAATAAACTGAAATAATGCATGCTAGGCATTTTAGATTCTTATATTTTTTTTTATTTGTAAGACAAAAAGTTTGAAAACCTTAGGTGGTTCAATCTAATTTGCATTTGCAAAGGACATCCAGATAAAACTAGAGTTGCATATTAAGTCACACGAGCAACGTAAATGTCAAAATGTTAAAAAAAATTAAATAAATAATGCATTAATCACCTGTCCTTACAACCCGTGAGTCAGGAAACACAAAGAGGCCTTTCACAATCTCTGCCGAAGCAGACTCCGCATCTGGAAGAGCAAAAATGTGCAAAGTGATGCATCTGTCTCAGAGACAGAATTGGAGGCGCAACTGACAGCCTGCATACAATCTCATTTTCATAGCTTACCATCATATCTCAGGAAGTGCGATGAGTGCATTAAGATAAGAAATCCTCCATCAATCAGAGGAATGATGAGAGCCTGTGCAAATGCAATCAATGTTTGTTTTTTTTAGATTAGAGATAAAAAATAAATAAATGTAACCACAAAATCAAAAGCAAACTGGTGCTGCATGCAAAATGAAACATTGCAGGAATTAAAATTGCATGTTATTATGTTGATTCTTTCAAAAAGTAAAACAACAATCCAATAAGAATTTTACAACTTTGGTGCATAAACATAGTGCTGAGATTTGGATGTGATCTATATTGCTTTAAATTAATAACAGATTTTGTTAGTCATTTTGTGTAAAACGGTAAATAGGCTCTACAGACTCACAAAATCTTTCTCCTTGATCTCTGAGAGAAGCAGAGCAAATGAGCTGGCTTCGTTTGCTTCAGAGGATACAAACTCACACAAGTCGCAGTAAAAGCCGTCCAAAAAGACTGAAAAAGACCAGAAAAAAAAACATTGATGTGTGGTTGAATTGACTCTTCCAAAAGTCCTGGATTGAATGTGGAAAAAAATAAAAATGCTTGAACTTTCTTTTACGAATAGGATCAAAACACACCTTCCTCTGTGTAGCTCGTTTCAAAAACACTTCTTGGCAACAGGCTTCTCAGAACTGACATGTGAATGGCTTGGTCAACCTTGATCACTGATGGTCTGTAACAGAAATGGAGAAACAAATATTAGGATACATTGTACAAATTTAAAGAATTTTATGAGATGTTAAAATGCAGATTTAACTTACAGTTGTACAGGAATAAAGGCCACAGCAGTGGACCTGAGGTCAATATGGTAAGTCTGGTTCTGTATCTGAAGCTGACCCCTCCAAGGTAAGTAGCGATGAACTGAAAAAAAATACAGCAACAATTAACAATTAATCTATAATCACAAGTTAGAACAATATCTGTGAAGAGTTGGTTGGTTTATTTATAGCTATATCAGTATGTGCAAGGAGTAAAAAAGGCAAATAAAATCATTTTAAAAGAATGTTGTGACTATTATTTCCTGCAACAGGCTTTAAAGGTTGAGAAGATTTTTGAAGACAAACCTTTGAGCAACTGTGATTTGGTGTGTTGTGATTTACAGCTTCAGAGCTTCTCTTTCAGACACACTGGGTGGTGAGATAAGATGTGCCAATTATTGCACTCCTTAGGGAAGCCTTTTCATTTAGGATTTGTGTGTTTTGGTATTGTGATTTGAGACTATACTGAATGAACTCTGTTGAGTGATTCTACATTCGGAAGCCACATATATGTAGAAATAAAACATTGGGGAGTTTAAAGGAGATGGAGTATTTGTAAATAAATGTGTTTCTCAGGCAATATTTCTTCCTTTATTATGTTAGAAGTACTTGCAAATGTACACAAACTACTAAAGGCAATTACAGGAAAATGTGCATGTTTGAAAAAAGGTTTTTGCTACTGTTCAAATTGTACTCACCCTGTTTTTGCACCTCACTAAAAAGAGAAATTGGGACATAATTAAAATGAGTTTAAAACTAATATTAAATATATGTAACTAAAACAAACATGCTGCATTCAATAATACCTTTTCTCTAGTGTAACAGCTGATGCTTTTGTATCCATATATGAAAATGACACAATAGCAAATGGACATGCAGCGCTGGGACACTGAGATGTTTCACTGCTTCCATCATGTAGCAGCTCATAAATGTAAAACTGAAAGAGATAAAATAAATTCTAGATGCCCGCGGCGTTTGTAGCAAACTATAGTAACATATCTGACACGGTTGTGACAACAGAAGCGCTTCTAAAGACTGAAATCTTTACCTGAGTTCTTTCAAAAGCGAGAAAGGAGCTGGTTTTGGAAGACACAGAGGGCAACTGGTCCGACACATGACAGTCACAGCCCACAGTGGGCTCTGTGAAATTCTGTGTGTAGTTCTCTGCGACCTTTTTAACTTTACCCTTTGCCAGGACAACAAAACAGTAATTAATGATCAGCGGTATTTCTTCCAAATGGATGTTCCACCATTTTGTTTTTCAGTACCTTTGTCAGCCTGATGATGGCAATGTATCCAGATTTCCCATGGTACCAACGGTTTATATCCAAACAATCAGAGTACATCGATATGTAAACGCCTTAAAGCAAAAAAAAAAAAGCATTCACTTTAAAACATGTTTTCAGAATAAAGTAGAAACAGCGACATTTACTCATAAAATGAATACTTTAATGTTTGATGGGAAACAGGTTCCCAGAAACCTGACACACCCTGAGCAGAACAACCACACCCTGCAGAAAGGCTGTGAGAGACACACCTTATGCAGGAGAAGAAATGTGAATGATCTCATTGAGTTCACAAGTCACCATAATCCCAACATTTATCATCATGCCTCTGCTGCTAAAACATGCAAAAAAACAAGTACAGAAGGGACATAACTTTGCCCCAAATTAACAAAGCTATCATTTGTTTTTTGCTACAACAAATTTAATAAAAAAAGAATAATTTATCGTATATGAAAAATATCAATAGAAAAAGGGTAAAAGTCACTGAAAGTTTTGTAGGTTGGAAAAAAGAGCAAGTCGCAAATCTGGTTTTAGTGGGAAACATGAGCAGTCAAAGACCTGTCAGGTGGGTTCTTTATAGAAACAGAGTCCTGAAAATAAAAGCTGGTTTGAATGAGAGAGAAATGGACAATCTGCTGCAGCTGCCTTCACAATCTATATCACACAACAACTGGATCAAAACTAATTAACTAACTAACTAACTAACTAACCAGAAAAGTGAAGTTCACAGCACAACTATAAAGAGTTACATCTGAAACAATGAAGCTTCTATTTGCTTGTGCTCTTCCATTGGTCTTTTATTCCTCGCATCACTAAAAAGGATTTCTAAGAAACAAAACATCAAAACAGATAACACTTCAACTATATATTAATATAGAGGAATCTGAGAAAAGCAATCAAGATTGCTACAGTGATTCTACTTCTAAAGTAAATACAGTTCAGTCATGTACATATACGCAATGATTTATAGTTTCACTTTCAATTTAGGATTTGATTTTTTTCACTTTCAGTTATATACATTAGAGGAGCTCTGAACTGTTGCTTTCACTTTCAAAGGGACGACTGCACTGCGGGACAGACAACAGTGTCTTCCCACTGGGAAGACGGATGAAGACTTGCTTTTCAAAAATGACTTTTAACGGTAAGTTCATCTCATATATATATATATATATATATATATATATATATATATATATATATATACACTTATATTCAGCTGGCTGCATCAGACTTCAGGGTGTGTACATGCTGTACATAGGAAATAAGAGGTTTACCTTTTGCTGGATCTCCCAAAGTTGTACATGTGCTGTTTCCAGAGATTACGCCAGTCTGTCCAAGTGCATTAGCCTTAAAACATATTAAAACAGTTTTTCTTTTCAACATGACCAGCAGCAACATTTGCTTAAATGAATATTCTCCGAGCGAAATGTACCTTGCTGCCGTCGTCAAACAACAAGAAGCCGTAGGTTTCTTTGAGATCGTCTTCTGAGTACCCTGCCTTTGCTTTCCTTGCTCGAAATGCGTTGTACTAATGTGAAGAGGACATTCAGAAATCAATCCGAGAGCTGACACAGTCGAGAGAACGTTCTACTTCGACATAGTCGATATTAAAGTTATATATTTTTCAGAAACAAACAGTGGAAGGGTGATTTAAATGAGCAGATGTACAATGCGGTGTAATATGAACTTCCTTTGAGTTGTGATTAGTGTTGAACAGAGGCTGTTTGGTGAGGAGGAAAAGACTGAGCCGACCTTGTTCTCCAGAGCAGGATTCTCGACCAGCACTGCAGACTTATATCTGAAAAACTGCTTTGATTCGTCGTACAAGTAAGCACTTTGAAGTGGAGCCAATATGTTTCTGTGAAAGACGTCCGAAGATTCCGACACAGGTACTAAAAAACCTGCCGTAAACAGAAAATATGGCCATGAGCGAAGCATATACAAAGAGCTGGAAAATTACAGAAAACTGCAGTTAGTGAGCAGGGGGGGAGAGAAGGTATTTCACAACCCTGGGACAGCCTGACGTGAGAACCAACACCTAGCATTTAGGTGTATATTCCTTTAATGTGCTTCAAATGGGTTAAAATATTACAAATGGATATTTCCAATTAATACCCATGAAAGAGAAGTCATACAAAAAAAATACTGAAGCTCGTCACCTTCACTTGAGGCTCCTCCATTTCGACTTTCCATTGCTTATGAAATCTGTCCTTCTCCCTTCCCTTGTCGTTTTAAACAATTGTCCCCGCTTCTGAACATCACAAACGACCGATAAAATCCCATTAATCCCGAAATGCCCGACGCTTTCAGAGTCCCTCGCGCTGACGCCTCACTTCCAACTGACATGTTCACGCGACAACCAGGAAGTTACAAAATACCCCTCTGTCCAAACACGAAGGGGCAGAAATGTCCACGTTAAAATCACTTCTTCCGCTTTCCAAATGGTATAGCCGCTTTGCTGCGATGCCGCACAGGTCCCCCACGAGGTTCCTGTTGTGGGCAACCAACATATGGGCGCTACGCGACGAAAAAGAAACAGAAACCTATCGAGCTTGAAGCGTCCATCTTGAAAGTGTAGACCAAACTACTGCTGCTGGAGCGATGGCGTGGCGAAGCTAGTTTGCGCCTGCGGTTCACGTCTTGTCCGTCTGGTTTTGGCCTTTGGGGAAAATATAATATATAACCACTCTGGCGATGAGGCGCGTAGGTGTTGGAGCTTTCTCGAAAGCGTATGACAGAGCTCGGTTTAGTGGGGCTTATTGTAACTATTCTGAGCAGAATGAGGAAGCAAGTAGGCTATCTGTTCTGGAGCAGTTTGTGTATTTCCCTTAATCGTACTTTCAAAGTATACAATCTTTAAGTAAGCAACCGGCTTAACTTCGGCAATGCATCGTTTTGGAAATGAGAAAACACAGTAATACCGTTGAAGCTGGTATATCAGCCTGTAGATCAGATGTGTCAAACTAATTTTCGTTTTGGGCCAAATCAAGATCATTAAGGCTCTTAAAGGGCCAGTTGTGACAGAATGTGTTGATGAAATCTGTTCACAAACTGTTAATATGTCAATGAATTCTTAAAATTACATTATATTATTGAACTAAATAATACTAATAATAAATGTGACAGTTTATTTACTCGCTGTATAAATTATGGACTATAGAGATACATCAACTAAATTCTCAAGAAACTGGAGGGATTGATTGATATAAATTGGCAGTAAACAGATAAAAACTGCATTGATACGATTGATAATATAATATTTAATCACACTTAGTGTTTAGTCTAGTCTGTGAAGGGCCTCATAAAAAGCTACGGTGGGCCGGATTTGGCTCCTGGGCCTTGAGTTTGACACGTGCTGTAGATGGTCCCAGTTACCAACAGGAAGTGATATTTAAAGTAAAACAAACAAGCAACAAAAACTGGAATCCAAGGTTGAGCTGATGTATACCTGCTTAGAGCAGTAGATTATAACCAGCATATAATCTAAAACAGTTTCCTGTTTGTTTAACTAAGTTCTTTATAAATGGTGAATAGGATACCAGAACCTGATACGGTCAGTCCGACTTTAAAATTGCATTTTCCTACAGGAGCAGTTTCAAATCAGATTAAGCCAACTTGAAACTGAAAGCAGTAGAACATATTTGTGGTGAAAAATAGCTGAAGGTACTCGTTGCTTTTGAAAATGAACTTCTTGCCTGGTAAGGATTTGATCAAGCATCTGTTGACAAGGCATTCTGTTGGTGATTGATTTTAGCTATCAGAAAAAAACAACAACAAAAAAATTAAGCTCCACATTGGTTAGAAAGAAAACATCTTTGGAAAATGACAATTTTCACTGTCTGTAAAGGAACATGTGACTGGTTGTTTTTGTCTTCTCTTTCAGGCTTGAATTGCCGAAGAACACAATGAAACCGTAACGATATCAACACTGATGTGACAGAGCTAACTTTAGCTTTTGGGATCAAAAAGAACCAAAGAAAAGAGGATAAGAAAGATGGACCAGTTTTGTGATCAATTAAGAAGTAATTAAAAATTGACAGATGTTGTTAGTTGTTTTACAAGTAAGACAATGAAGCAAAATTATAAAAAAAAATAATGATCATACATGATTAAAACAATTATTAAAGCTTAGGAAATTTATGTTGTCGTTGCAGCCTGGTTTTGTCTCACTCTTTATCTGTGCACATGAATTTTAGAATTCGTTTTAGAGTATTCACACTCATCCACTAAAGTCCAAATGGCAAAGGAATGGATTATCTACATCAACTTTTGAGAAAACAGGTTCCGTCTTGTATTGATCCCAAAGTCAGAATCTGTTGGTTGTGGCTTAAAAGCTGATAAAAGGAAGTATCTTATTTTATAAGATCCCTTACTGACCAAAGTTTCGGAAACCTGAACACCAATTCTGAGCTGAACTTGTGTTTAGCCCTTTATCTCAAGAAGATATTCAGCATTCTTGGACTCAACCCTAAACCACAACTATAGTAACGTTACCCTTGGTCTCACCACATCCCTGTCACATATCCTTATTCCTTCTCTGAATTTTGTTCATGAATTGTAAGAAAACCACTCCAACTTCCCATGCCACAACAGCACACACTCGCCTCTTTTCAACCAACGAGATGGTTTTAGGAAGTGACATTAAATAACCTATGGACTCACACAGTTCAAAATCAGACATCCTCGCTGACATTTAGTTGTGGATTCTGGTGGGTGTGAATTGGGGTTTTGGATTGAATTTTCTCAGAAAGAAAATGTTTTATATTAGATATCATATGAAAGGGTATTTGCAAACGATTACAGTGAAACCAAAAATGTCTTGCTATCAGCATTCAAAGTGTTCATAATTCAATCGCGATATATAAAAGTATACATTTGTTTTCACTTAATGTAAAGAAAGAAAAAACACATAAATATATTTTGGATTTTACAAACAAAATATGTTTGTAAACATATTTGTAAGTATTCAATTTAATGACGTTGCAATGAGGCCTTTGACATGCCGTAAATGTTTCCATGCCATGACTTTCTGAAATGGCTCCCTTTAGTCAAACCTCAGTTTCCTGTCTAAAGCTTTGTGGCATCCACTACCATCAAAAACTCAATCATAAATACGGCTGAGTGGAAACAAACCTTATATAAAGATTGAAAATGCTCTTATTCATGTCAGACCGATTTAAATAAAGTTATTTTCAATTAATCAGACAATAATTAAAGAATTAATTTATTTGTTAATCATCCCAGCGAAACACATTATGTAGATGAATTGTGCACAGACTGAAGCCTTTGTTATTTGAGATTATTTTCCAATTACGGCTAATAAGAAGACGTCACTTGAGATTAGAATATTACAACAAGACAATAAAAACACTGTTGATACACGAATGTGGGCTTAACGAAAAGTACGCTTTATGTCTCGCTCTTTTCAAAAAGTACTTTCTTTATCTGAGAAACCAGCCTCACCGGGAAATCATTCTTACTTTTTGAACACGTCTGTACTTTAAAGGTTAAAACTGTCTGTTTGGAAACACTGGTTTCCAGACAGTTTGACATTGTCACGGCATTGAACAAAAATCTCGTGACTTTGATGGCACAACACTTATTGCCATTAAGTATTATTACAACCAAAAAAAATAAAGATCAACCAGACCATTTTTAAACACTTTTTTCCCCCCCCCATATGAATTTATATAGTCACAAAACTTGACTGAATGCAGTTTGGTCTGTGTTGAAGACTCATTTTTCAAAGTAGGACAAATAATGGCTTTTTCAGCACACTGAAAAAAGTGTGATCAGGGTTAAGTAATATTTACTAAATAAATAAGAGCAAACTATACATAATAAAAAAGACTTTGTGCAGTTTTGAATCTCACTGAGTTGAATTAACAAAATTTTGAATATATTTTAATTGCATTCTACTCGGTTTTTATTTCAATAAAATCAGCAGAAAAACAATAAGTAGAATTTATTTATTTTCATAGGTAAAGTCAAAAGTGCAGAAAATTGATAAATTTTACTCATTGGGAGGCCTTTATTTTTCCCGCCCCAAAGCATTTGAACATCCAGTCTGCTTGGCATTTCATGGACTACCGTTTGCTTAAAGGTAAGACATGTTTTAATTGTTCTTAGTTAAAATAATTCAAGTGTCTGTAGCAGTTAAACGTTGTCTTAAGTTACTGCAAATGACCAAACATGGCAACTTTAAAGTTATAGTGTGAAGGATTTGAAGTCAGTCATCTTTGATTTGACTAAATACATCGCAATGATTGAAAAAGTAGTCTCAATGTCACAATTTAATGTGACTAACGTAATACGATATATAGTGGCCGTAGAATACAAGCTACTCTTTTATTTAATGTAGTTTTTTGGCCTCAGCTCAAGCTCCCCCTCCCCACCTTAACAAGCTAGCTAGCATGTTTGGGCTCCATAATGGAGGAACAGACGTTGTTTTCAACGGTGAGAGGCTAATCAAGTTAAGAGTTTCGTTTAAAGTTACTGCATTTAGTTTTTACTATTAAAATATACTCAAGTAGCATTTTTACTCAAATAGCATGTTAAAAGCTGATTTCTAATCAGTTTTTATAACGTTACACATTTCGGAAGAAAAATCAGCCGTTTTACATTTTGAGACAAAGTGCGCTGTTTCTTCTTTCTCATGGAACGTCTGTTATTGTGTTTTGAGCACAGTGGCTGGTGTTTTGCTGAACCCAAGTTCACCGGCTCTCACTGAGGTTCTCCATTAACGTTACGTTAGTTACATTCAGATGGCACAAACGGCTTTCTCGTTTTTTCCTGTTTTCTCGGAAAAACGTTTTGCTTTCAAAACTGTGGTTGCAGCTCACACTGACAGATAAACAGTGAGATGCGTCTGTGAATGTTGGGTTGAAATCAGTACGTAGAGCTTCGTACTGACTGCTGCCACAGAGAGACTGAGAGAAATGCTTCGTTAGTCCGTTTTGGGCATCTTTGACTTTAATATTTATTGTTTGGCATTTGTTGATGTGCATATATCTGTGGTGCCTTTAGATGTGCTGCATTTAGACAGACAGGAAGCTTTAAGAGAAACATTACCGCTTCTGTCTTCCGTGCAGTTTGCTAACACTGTCACTTGCTATGGAGCTAAGTACACTGTTAGGATGAGCTTGCCTCATGGCTCTACTGGGGGACTTCCTGACTTTGCTGAGATTATTCAGATAGCCATTTTAAACAACCGTGCACATTTCATTGTAAAGTTACTACAAGCATGGCATGAAGAGCATCTTAGATCTTTTCAACTAGAGAACACTGGCAAAATGGCTCTTGTTGAGCAGCAGAAACTTGGTGATGTACAGTGTACATGGCTGCATACAGTGTGGGAGGAAAACGCTTGGTCACACTAAAACGTCACATCTGTTGTTTGTTTTAGGTAATTTTGATAAATTATGTTAACCTTTACATCTCATAACATCTGTTTTTAAAACCATTGTTCTGGAAATATAACAACAGGATCCTTTTTTGTTGACATTTTAGCAATTTAATAATCATAATTATGGCACACGCATTTAATGTTACGATTATAAGTGTGGTGTTCCACTTAAATAAGTACAGATTTTATTTATAAATGGTTTTTTTTATACAGGTTTTTTTTATGTACTGTATAACAATATATTTAACTTTTTTCTATTCTTGTCTGGATGGCAGAGATGGAGGCAAAAACTCAGAGTAATAATTGACGACCGAATTGAGAAGTTGGTCCTCCCATCAGGCATCCCGCCCACTGTGGAGGAGCTGCATAATATTGTGAAGGAGACCTTTGGGATTTCTACTGAGTTCAGTCTTCAGTATTTTGATGTGGAATTTGAAGATTATTTTACTCTTCACAACAGTGATCTTATCAAACACAAAGGCACCATAAAGGGAGAGGATGAAGAAAGTCAAGAACAAGAGAGGATTCAGTTGTTTACTGAAGTAAAGAAAGAGGACAACAACGCATTGATAAAAGAAAAAATGGCCAAAACATTTGCACACAGAAGAAACGAAATCATTAACCAATCACCCAGTATAGAGAAAATTAAAGCCAGATGGCCCGCTCTATTTGAGCCGTCTCACGTGAGTTATAAGTGCATGCTAATCAGAAATATTCCTAGTCAATGTGAAGGATTGCATTTGTGATTCTGCATTTAGCTATTTGATACAAAATGTGTTGCGTTACTGTCATCTATTTTATAGATCAAATTTGATCCATCTTCTTGCTTTTGAAAAATGTCGTAAGAACAGTATGTATGTTTGTAATATTTGAGGCTTTAAAACTGGTTTCATGATTTATCTTTCAGATCCAGGATGAGTTTCACAGAATCACAATGGTGCATCTTGAATCAAAGATCATGTCCAAACTGGATGAATATACTCCTCGACTTCTGAACCTCTTCCACTCCAAGGGCGGAACCATGGAGTTGAGGTTGCAGGCTATCCTACTCGAGGTATCCTTCATTGAGCATTATGGTTGCTAATATTTCATTCTCAAAATTTTGTTTTTAAACTTCTGGAATATCATTACTTAAATTTACTGGAGGTTAGTCTGTGATTCTCTTTATCAATGGAATATGAAATAATCGCATGAAAATGTGTTTCAGTAGTGTTTTATTACACTGGTCCTCAAGATGGCACAGGAAGGATCCTTGAGCTTATTAACAGTAATATAAATCACCAGGTGTTTATTTTTTTCGTTTCAGACTCCAAGCAATCCTGACATCAACATGACCAGAGATGTTACCATTTGATGTTTGATGATGTACCTTGGGGAATCTACAGATCAACTCTTACAAGAGTATGATGTAAGTTTAAGTAGATATTAAAATATAAAGTAGGTGATTTATCTCATCTCTTCTAATTGGTATTCGTTGGAAATTTTTAGTGTTATCTCATATTTGTCTAAAACACTGACAAATAGAGTGCATTACAAGAACGGCTGACAAACTCCAGATTTTCTTGTCCAAACAGTTGTAAGCAATTTGGGAAATAGAACCTTCTCCTTTAGCTGTACTGTCTAATATGCACAATGTTCTTGCTATTACAGGATGCTGATGAAGACAGTGTGTCACAGGACCTTGCTGTTCAAAGCCTGAAGATCTACAACATCAAAGCTAACACGTCAGAGGATCCAGACATCGGTATCGTGGTGGACCAGTGAAATTCTAACTGCTCTGGGTAACTTTCCAAGGGCTTGCTCCCTGCTTGTTGGATTGGTGTATGCTATGAGTCTTGCCTATCCAAAGAAGCTCAGATACACGTTTGAAGTGTTTCAGAAACTTCTCCTCGGACTGGATAGTTCAAAGCTCTCCACAAAAGTGAACAGCCTCAGGAATAAACTAATGGCTTAAGAAAACGGACCCTTACTAAACAAAAGGGAATAGACAAGCCACTGTCAAAACCAACATGCAAAACTTTGTGACATGCTCTGTGAAGTTAGTTAAAATTTGGGTAATTTTCAGTTCAGTGGATTTCTGCATGTGTATTTTTTCTTGCAGTACATTACAGTTAACTAGCCTTTCTAAGGACTGACCCCTTGTTCTCATATGTGGTAGTGCGGCCTGTTATATGGCTTTGGATCTGTTCAGGTCTGTCACATGAATCCTTGTCCCTTTATACAGCATAGAGAATCCACTATTGCCTTTTTGGAGAGTCCATGCAGGCTTCACCACTGAAGGGTGATGATCTGCAGGCTGCAAAATGCTGTTGTGTTTCATTTGCACTTTATATAATATGTTTTTGTTCAGTTCTGTCTTTCAACTTATTTTTCGAAAAGGAAAGTAAGTGTCACGGAGCCAACAGCCCCAACACAGTGACAAGATGTAGCATGAACATGCAAAACAAGAAAATGGAAGTTTTTATGCCTCAAAGGTCTCGCCCATCTTTCACATATTGTCATGTGTTTTCCCCAGGTAAGATTTATACTTGTGTTGTGCTCTGCATGCCTCTTAAACATAAAGTTAACTATGTTTATGTGATTGATAAATTGTTGAAGCAAGCTTAACTGAGTCCAAGTTGATTTTTGTTGATGTGATGGCTCTAAAAAATCATGTTAACTATACTTTGAGCAGAGTGGCACTATGTGTTGACTTGATACTGATATATTGTATATTGCCCCTTCTCTGTTTTATTGTTGTATTTTGGAATTTTGCACTTGTTGGGTGCTGGATAATCACGTTTTATAAAGTTTCACAAAGAAATGCTGCTGCTGTTTAATTTGTTGTTTTTTGATGCCACTCAAGTTTGGTCAGTATATTGTGTAAATTAGGCTTAAAAAAATTATGGCAACAAAGTGACACTCAATATTATTGAATAGATTTAAAGTCCTATGACACAAATAATAACTTAGAATTTATCAATTATTTTAGCTACAAATGACTAAGAACAACAGTGTTAATGTGTTGAATCAATCAATAATGTGCTAAAATATGAGTTGATATCATTTATATTATTTACTTAATCCAAATAATTTTTATGCTGATCTTTAGTAAATCCAAATCAATTTCAGCCATTTAATTAATAAATATAAAATTAATTTCACCTAGATTAACAGTAAATATGAATCAATTTCCCACAGATATTTCGTAAATCTAAATAATCTTTTCTCAGAAACTTAGTAAATAGAAATAATTTTTCCTTGTAAAATTGAGTTGGATTTACTAAATATTTTTTGTCAATATAACTTATCATTTGGCTTGATATTACTAAATCCAAGACATTTCAGCTGTTGATTTTATTAAGATGTACTTGATTTTTTTAAGTTAAGTTAAGTTAAAATATTCAATACTTTTTACTCATTATTGTAGAACATAAAATCTACTCAATTATATTACGTGTCACTTTGTTGCCTCAATTTTTTTGAGTAACCATTGGTCAAATTTTTCTGAGTGCAGCTCATTTGTTGTTAGTTTACAAATCACTGAACGGTTTAGCACCACAATACATCAAAGATCTGCTGTTGTATCAACCTTCCAGAACCCTCAGATCTTCTGGTTCTGGTCTGCTCTTCATCCCCAGAACCAGAACCAAGAGAGGAGAAGCAGCTTTCAGCATCTATGCACCAAAAATTTGGAACAAACTTCCAGAAAACTGTAAAACAGCAGAAACCCTGACTTCCTTTAAACCTCAACTAAAAACACACCTGTTTAGAATTGCATTTGAAATGTAATATGTAACAATGTATTGTCTATTATATGTTTCATGACGTTGTGTTTTTGTGTTTATGATGTAAAGCACTTTGAAATGACTTACTGCTGAAATGTGCTATACAAATAAAATTTGATTGATTGATTGATTGATTGATTGATTTCAAGCGCTAGAAAACAAAAATAACAATAATGACGTTTGCGCAGCGCTTATGTTTTATGTAACGTCCATGACCCCGCCCCCCGCCTACATATCCCAGAATCCTCTGACGCTGTTTCTTCAGCCTGCAGCACCAGCTGCTCTCTCTGAACCGGACTCTGCTACTCGACTGCCAGCTGTCACATTATATTGTCACGCGTTGCTTGCGTGCATCCTTCATTCTCCCCTTCAAGATGAAGCACACATTCGGCTGAAGCGACGAAGGAGCAGAACGGGAACATGAGATGGAGATAACCCGGGCCAGACCGTCGCTGTATGGAGAAATCGGTAAGTAGCTTACAGCGTGTGACTAAACCTCAGAGACCGGTTTATAAAAAGATTTGGCCAATGGTAATGGGAGCCTGGCAGATGCGGGTTTTGCGGGAGCTTTCGTTTGTTGGTCCCTGAAAGTGGTGGTGAACGCAGAGCCTGGCAGCCTCGAGCTCGACGCCAGGAAGGAGGAAAGTGTTGGGCATCGTCCAGGAGGGCGGTCGCCCAGGGGGACGTGAGAAAGCATGGGCCACGAGATTTAAAAGGTGCCACTTGTTTGTCCGATTGGACAGATTGAGTGTTTTTCTATTGCTTTTAAACATTTGCACTCAATTTGGGGAGTATGTGTGCAGTGGCACAAACCGTGGTTGTGATGCGTCAGGCACCAAAACTGATGGAATAAATATTTCTAGTCTGTATCTGGCAGATGATTGTATATTAAAAACCCTCAGGGGGAGAAATATTATATTATATTATATTATATTATATTATATTATATTCTGTAAAAACACCTCAGAAAGTACTTGGCTGTGACCCTGTATGTGCCTCATGCTTGCAGCTGTTGTGTGAGTTGTTTTTAACACATAGAATAAACTGAATGTATTAAAAATAAATATCTGCCGCTTGACCTTTATCAGAGTGTCTTGAGTACTCCATCTAGCAACCCACAGACTCTTGTCTCTGTAGTGTAAAAATAGATTTCGATAGGAACTTTCCTGCAAACATTACGTGGCTAAATGACTATCAGTCCAGTTGTGAGATGGCTGCCATGTAACACAACTGTTCGATGAAGAGGCGAAATGCTCAAAGTGGTGCAATGACAGAGAATCAAAGTCTCTGTTGTGTTTGTGTTTTTGCAGTGTAGGATGATTGCAAGCTGTACTTTATGTCCATCCGTAAACCCACATTGAAATAAAATCGGATTTGTCCATTATTATCATCAACAATGATAATAATAAAGTTGTGACCACGAGGTATTAAGTCAAGCCCACAGCCCACATGATTTTCTCCCATATCGCTAGACAGGCTCCATGGTTACAAACTAAACAGAACACATAAACTGACATCAGCAAGAACATAAACAATATTCTAGTAACTAATAATTAATGGCACAATGTGATTCTTGTCAATCACGATCAATCAAAATCAAACTTTGAAAATGCAGCAATGTGAGTTCTTTCATATTTGTAGTCAACTTTAAAGTATTTATATATGAATAGAAGTCTGCTAGGAAAACACTGACATCTCCCTAAACGGAGCTTTAAGCCTTCCTAGAGGTTTCGCTTGTCGTGCGGCGTACTTGCGTGATGATAATATAAGTATCCAAGATGGCGTCGCGGCAGAAAAAGTGTTTGATACGTTGCTTAGTGACAGCGGTGACCTTTGGGGAGGAGGGGAGACACCTGCCATGAATGTCCCAGGTCACGTTATTGTACCAATGTTAGCGCCATCCTGCATGAATTACCTGCATGTCATGTTAACATGTACAGTCCTATTCGGTAAATTTGGATTTGGGTTCTTTTGTCACATTGAAAACACATTTAGAAAAGAACATTTAAGCAAGTTTTTCATTCGACCCACATTTCTGCATTAAGAGTGTTTTCTTATTGGTCTGATGCAATATTCTAATCTAAAATGTCGTGTTGTTCAAGATGACTGTAGTTGATGAGAACTGCCGGAGGGAGTGACGCTCGCTCATACGTAAGCTCCTGTACGCTTCTAGCCACATGTTGTTATTGACGGAGGGACGACTAAAATGACGGCGGCGAAAATAAACAACATCTGAACGGCTGTTTTCCAGAGCTGGATGCGCCCTGAGTCTTGAAAGATTGTTCCTTGTGCAGACATTTCATCTTGAAACGTTCATTTGCCAGAGGGATTATTATTTTTTTAAGCCGACTTTAATTTAGCGTGAATCAAATACAACATGGTGCATTTTTTGGGTTGAAAACTTTACTTCAAAACTCAATGAGAATCGAAAGGAGAATCAATAAGGAATCAAAACGATAAGTGTTAGCAATTCCCTTCCCTATTACTAAGCATAGTGGAGGCTCTGTGATGCCGTGGGAACCTTATGAGATTGGATGGAAATGTGGTATTTTGTATAAAATTCTGCAATACCTGTGCACTTCATAAAAAGGCGAAATTATCTTAAATATTTTTGCACATTTACGATAAGAGGTACCAATAGGCGCAGAGAGGACAGCGGACGTATGTGTCTGAAAGATCAAGCTGGACAGCCGAAGATCGATCACAGCTCCACGCCTCAGACGTGAGCAGGAGCGCTCAGACTTGTTTTGCTTCTTCGTGTCTGCAGCTCATGGCCTCGGATTCTGGACGGACCGGTCAGCGGTGCACGAGGCCGCCGCGCAGGGCCGAGCCCTCCAGCTGCAGCAGCTAATTGAGGCGGGCGCTGCCGTAAACATCGTTGCCGTGGACTCCATCACGCCGCTGCACGAGGCCTGCATACAGGGTCAAACCCAGTGCGTCAGGCTGCTGCTGGCCGCTGGGGCACAGGTGAGGTGATCCGGATGGGGTTGTAGACATGAAAGTGGCTCGCCTAATGCGTTCACACGCCATTACGCGGCTGTCCTGCAGGTGGATGCTCGGAACATCGACGGAAGCACCCCGCTGTGCGACGCCTGCGCAGCCGGGAGCTTGGACTGTGTCAAGCTGCTGTTGGAGTATGGAGCAACCGTCAATCCTCCGCTCTTCACCTTTTCCCCTCTTCACGAGGCGTGCATGGGAGGTACAGGCTCACGCAGACGGCATTGCAAGTCGGCATGATATGCAATTTGATGGAATCTGCAGATAGGTTATCATGCTCACATTTCCTGGGGCTTCTTCTGCAAATCCTCTCAGAGCTTTCAAGGCATTTAGTTGATTCTGGATGATGTCTTTTCTTTATAGTGGGTGGCTAAAAGCCTTCTTAAGCTTTTTTCTGGTGTTTTAATTTACACAGATGTGTTGTTGAAAAGTTGAAAAGGACTTAGCTGGATTGGACGTTTCCTCTTTTCGCTCTCTTCGGTTTTGCTAAAAACAAGAAAATCACCGTTGTGTTCTCTGTTTTAGATATTGCTCACAAAGAGCTGATATAGATGTACAAAAATATCTAATTAATTAATTTTTTAAATTGTCAGTTTATTTATTTATGTGTCCTTTTTTCATGTGCGCATTGTACTTTTTCCTTTCTGCTTAAATAGATTATCTAGAAATGTTTACATTTTGCAAACAACAACTTCCTGTTTCTCTTGGGTAGGAATATAATTGAACTCAAAGACCTTATTTTGTCAACTGGTATTTATTGGCACAATGTGATTCTTGTCAATCAGGCTCAATCAAAAACAAACTTTGAAAATGCAGCAATGTGAGTTCTTTCATATTTGTAGTCAACTTTAAAATATTTATATATGAACAGAAGTCTGCTAGGAAAACACTGACATCTCCCTAAAAGGAGCATTAAGCCTCCCACGATCAAAAACACGAAATGAAATGCGCTTTTATTAAGACCTGTCAGTACGTCAGGAAATGGCAGCTGGGGAAAAAAAAAGTATCCTAAACTTTCCCATTTCAACAGTTTGAGAAATATTCACGTTCTTTAAAAGTAGAGATGTGATGAAAACATCTGAACAAGGGTTGAAGTTTATTTTCCCGCCATGCTGTGTGAAGAGGATGATATGGGAAGTAACTGTGTTAGTATCTGATTACAAAGCCACAGCAGCAAAAGCCCAAACATTCGCTTTTTGACTTTTGAAGTCAGAGAGCGACCCGCTGTTTCCATGCCTCCAATGAAGACACCTTGCCTTTCATATCAGGTAACTCGGACTGCGTTCAGCTGATGATCGATCGAGGCGCCTTCATGGAGGCTCACGACTGTCACTATGGAACGCCGCTTCATGTAGCGTGTGCCAGGCAACACTTCGACTGCGCCAAAGTGCTGCTCCTCGCAGGTAACTGAGCCGACGCCTCCAAGCGGGCTGGTTACCATGTTGCTTTCATTACAATCACAAACGTCAGTGTTGGAGTTAAATGAGATCCAACCAATACATAGTAGCACCTCCACCGCCTCTGACGATACGGGCGGAGTTTGTGTCTAGCTAAAACAGGGACCCCCAAAATTGTTGGTATTTTTATTTATTTTTATTTTTTTTGCAGCTTCTAACAGAAAATATGAACGCAAATGTATGCCACACCTTTCACAATTGTACCAGTAAAACATTTGGAAATAATCCGTTTTACTTTTAGCCTACAGTCATGTGCTGCTTTGTGTTGGTGCGTCGCACGAAATCCCAGGAAAATGCATCAAATTACTAGAAAGTGTGGAAAAGTTAAGTTGGTATGAGTACTGCACGAGCAGCACACAAACGTAAATGCCTCATCCAGGAACAATTTGATTTCCTTATGTCTCCCAGGAGCAAACGTGAACGCTTCCAAGCTCCACGAGACGGCCCTTCACCATGCCGCCAAGACCAAGAACACCGACCTGATAGAGCTGCTTGTGGAGTTCGGGGGGAGCGTTTTCGTTCGAGACAACCTGAACAAGAAGCCAATCCACTACACCAGCGTGGGCTCTCCCTCCTACCTCTGCCTCGAGTTCTACGAAAGTACGTGTTCTCACTTGAACTGACCGCTCCTTTTACAGGGCGAGAGCTTCGGAAAATATCAAACGTCTGGTGTTTGCTTCCTCCCTCCTCAGATACTCCCCTGAGCCTGCAGCAGCTCAGCAGAGTGGCTTTGAGGAGGATTCTCGGCACGAGAGCGCGCAAAGTCATTTCGGAGCTGCTCTTGCCCAAGAGCATCATAAGGTTCCTCTCCTACATGAAGCCTCTTGCCATTGAAATATGACCCCATTTGACTGACTTGAGCGTAAATCTGTGGCGGATGTAATGTGGCAGGCTGTTGAGAGAGCAAAAGAAAATAATAAAGAAAAAATCTGGACTATAAAATTAGCCAGATGTTTTAAAAACAGGCAGGCTGATTGAATCTAGAGCCCAAACACTCAATTGCTTTGTCTAATAAAAAGTACATCTCCTTATCAAAGCAGTATGAAACAAAGCTTTCCGTTGTGTTGGCCAGCTCAGACCTTTTTCTTTAGCAATGTGTATGAAATTACAGAAGAAGTCTGTGCACTAGTAACTACAGGCCACCTTCCTTCCAACGTTACAGCTGTTGCTGTCACCTGGAATCTGGTTTTTCATGTTTCCTGGAACTGAAACGATTAGTTTGAGTCACGGCAGCACGGACTTTGGAGCACCAGCAGCGCTCATGTAGGTGGGGTGAAATCTGTGTCCACTTCTCTGGTGAATCAGAAATATATTAGCTTGGGGATCATAGCGTACTGTGCTGATTTCTAGGAAACTCTCTATAGAGAGTCTTATGTAGAGGCAAACATTGTGTGTTTTCCACTTTGTTCACTTTATTCAACATATATTCCAGTCCACAAACAACAAAAAGACGAGGTTTTAATACGGTGGAATACATGCGTAGCTTCTTTTTTTTTTTTTTTTTCCAGAAGTTTTTGAAAGTTCCAGAAGTTTTGTTGCATCATTAGCACTGTATAATTGTATGTACTTGTACATATTCTGTAACTATATTTATTTTTTATGTAAATATGTAAATATTACAGATGGTTATACCTCTATGAAGTTCATGGAAATAAAAAGAAAACAAAATTGGTATATTAAGAATTGCTTTACATCTTTTGTTTGATATACATCATATTTCTAAACTTTTTACTTCAATATTTTCTTGCTACAGGAATATAATTTTGAATCGGTCTGAAGGGGCTTGGTTTTGATTTTCATACAAACTATCTTTAAACTGAAAGGGACAATATATTTCAGTTGGAGAAAATGTGAAAATCTTGAAAATGAATTCTGAACAAATCCTAATAAGTCTTAAATTTTTCTTTGACTACGTTGTCATGATTTGTGGAGGTGATTCCTGGTGGGAAAACGGCAATGAGTGTTGCTACAAGTTCAAGTGCAATAGTGTGGGAAACATTTTAAAAACATTTAACTAGAAACACTGAAATACAAATAGTGTACAGTTTGTAAAAAAAAAACATTAAAATCTAACATTCTAATATTACATTAATCAGGTTATCTGATTAAGTCAGTAAAACCTCAGAGAAAATAAGCATCAACTATGTGCTTTAAAAGGAAAATTAATCTGTGTTCAACTCCACCTCGCTGTAATATAAAGTGAAAAGTACATTTATTCAGTAACTCATTTCATCGTTAAACTCACCTTTAATGCTATTAAATATGATCATTTTCCTCTTAAACCTGATGAAAACATGAGATTTCAGACTAGAATTACATCAAATCAATAAAAATAAAAAATCCAGCTTAATACCAGCTTAAATGCTATATTCAGAAGGTACTTGTATCTGGCGAATATGACTATCAAGATTACAGTTTTACTCATGAGTAAATAAATCTGTAACGGAAGATATTGTTGGTAGAGAAACGACAATGAACCATGCTGCTCTTTTCGAAACGCTTGAATAGGTCCAGGTCACTAGAAGCAGAAAGAGAAAAAAAAGCTCAAGATTAGATAAAATCAACGACAGTCAGGCAGAAATGAACTTCAGGCCCCACAAAACCTACCCAAGGTGCACTCCCTTTATTTATGCATTCATTCTGTCTGAGTTGCACTGCAGCATGACTGAACATGAAAAACAATTAATCAGCTCACACTGTAGCAAACACTTAAATGCTACAGTCTGAGCATTTGGCTTTTTTTTTTTTGTTGAAACAGCCCAAAAAATTCACACTGATTTCAATGTTACTGGTCTGCTAAATGACAACGTGAGCGTCTGAAGTCGGTGTTTCACATAAAAACTCAAGAATCGGATATGACGGCCTGAACACATATTTTATTCATACGATTTGACCAGAGGAATCTCAACAGGATTCGTTACAGAAGTGTTACCTGACTGTGGGGTTGTGCATAGACTAGGAATGAGGCGAGTCATTGTTTGGGTAAAAGTAACAAGAGAAGCTGATCCACACCCTGAGAGACTCTGCTTTGAAAATAGAAATCATTAACCACAGTCCTGAACGGGTCAATTAATGTCCTATGTTTCCCAGAAAAATCTGGTAAAATGTTATGAAATAAATTCAGTAGGGTTCCTGTTTTATGTCAAATTTCCAATGTTCTCAAGCAGACATTTATACTGTGGTCAAAGGTTCACTGGTACAGAACTACAAAAATCTGATTGCTACATTTATGGCGGAAAAAAACCTGACAAACTAATGAATCCATATTAGTTTGAGAAATGGATGGGTAAATAGAAAAAATGATCAACGAACGAACTGATAGGATGGACGATTTACAAATTGATTAGAGAATAAATGGATGGACGAATCAATAAATGCATCCTGGTAGAGGTTGGGGAAAACAGAAAAATGTTTAAATTCGAAAATGCTCTTATCCAGACTTCAGCTTAATTCCAAACTTTTCCAAAAACATCCTGAAGAAATCTCAGAGAAAGAACCAAACTAGGAGAAATATCACAACGTGGAAGTACTTTTAAAGAGCTATGCCCAGTTTTCAATAATCCATTATCCACGTACGATTAGAAAAAAAAAAAAATCAATGAATCAAGAGCTTTTCAACTGACTGCAAAGTGAGTCAAAAAGTCAAACTATTCAGAAGTCTTGCTTCACTTCCTGAAGTCTGAGTCGGTCATTTGATGCTACTTTAAGCCCAAGCTGTTTATGACACGGGGGGGGGGGTCAGGAGGGGTCAAGTGCTCTTCACTGCAGAGAGGAACAGGATGACAGAGACGAAAACCAATGGCAAACCACCACCTCCTCTGTCGACCATGTAACCGATCCGAACACGCTGAGCAGACCGTCGCCTGCGAACGGCACGTCCATTCACGGCCAAGTGAGCTTCGAGAAAGGGTTTTCAGTCAGACTGCGATTGATCATTTACAGCTGAAGCCACTATCTGCACGTCGAGCAGTTTGAAAGCTCTTATCAGTGTTCAGGAGGAAATGGGATTATTGAGAAACAGTTTTTTTAAAAAAAGAGAGAAAAGGGCAGCATATCTTGTAGGACTTGAAGGTTTCTGAATGTCATAGAAGTCGAAGTTTAGAGATATTGTCTGGTCACAGCGATGAAGTAGTCCATCTGCAGAACTAATCTCGTTTCCTCTTAGATGAAGGCGAGCAAAGGGGGGAAGTCAACTTCATGTCTGTTTCTCATTTAGGCAGTCGGCTGCTTTTCCTTCATGTCGGTTAGCTTATATTTGCCAACGGTAAGAAGCAGACTTATCTTACTGTTTCAATGCAAATAAGGTTGAGTATGACATCATTTTCAAAAACTGATCACTGTCAAGTTAATGACTGATCAATTTAGCTACAATTGACATATATGAAAATGTTTTGAGGGTTTAGTCAGGTTGAAATCATTTTTCTGACTGATTTCCTCTTTCAAGCAAAAAAAAAACAACTCCTAACTCAATTGAAGTGTTAACAAGATGCTGTCAGCCATTGCAGTAGCAGAGAAAAAGGAACTAAACCTGCATCAGACTTTTTTTTTAACCAGTCGACTACACGAAACAGAAAAAAAAGCCCAAATTTCAGTTCAGAACATTATCTTTTAACACTTGTACAACTCTAAGCTGTGTTTCTTTTTTATAAAAGAAAGTTTTGTAAAGAAATGCAGTGACATTGTGTTTTAGAAAACCCATCAGTACCAGGAAGTGGCTAAAGGGGTCAAAGTACGACTGAAAAGTGAATGCAGAGCAAACAAATAAAACGCAGTACAAAGAGAAACAATCAAACACGTTTTACTTATTTTTGCCATCCAGCTCACAGGTTTTCACAGATTACATTTATATACATCTTTTTCAGTTTTCATTGAACATAGCTATATCTCACTTGCTATCTTGCAGCAAACACTTTCAGACCTGTGTAAAGCTCAGATGTCACCTTGGTTACATCAACCCTTTATCTCGGTCCAGATAACTCAACGTACGGCTTAACGCACGTCAAACACATCGACCACAGAATGAAACTGGAGAGCAACAAGTGGCGGAAAACATTTAACTCGGTCGAGTGAAATGGATCAGCTTTTTCCCTTTTTTTGTAAACTAAATACATGTTTTAGAAAACACAAAAAGCACATTTTGGACGGGGGAGAGGAAAGGGAGTTTCAGTGCAGCTAAAAAGACGAGCATGATAAGAGCAACGAGACAAACTTGACTGACAGGACACATGCTGAGGATATGTCTGTCCGAGAGAGAGGCCCCTGATTGGCTCTGTCTACACTCCGGTTTCTTTCCTCCTTTGTGATCCCTGCAACTTCTGCTCCAGCCTGTTTTTGGACAGCGTCTGACGTCGGAGCTTCGGGCCGGGAGGAGGCGGGCAGTTCTCGTCTGTCTTCTCATGGCAGGCAGGAGAGGAGAGGACGGGCTGGGCTCTGGCTGGAGCCCCCTGCTGTTGGGTGATTGCGGTGCGCAGACAGTTGAGCCACTGCTGTTTGTGGTAAACGTCGCTGACGTGCAGCGTGTGCGACTGGCCGTGGGACGGGTCCGTGGAGCTCACTCGGAAAACGTTCTTAGCTGCAGAGGCACAGGAAGAGAAGAGAGGGGAAGCAGTCAGAAAAATAATGTTATTTTGATCAAATAAAACAAAGAACAAAAACACACACACCATTCTTTGACCAATCATAAAAGAATCAGCTACTTAGCTTCACTTTTTTTAGATTATTTTTTTTATAAATTTTTAAAATAAAAATAATTGATTACTAAATTAGTTGATGATTATTTCAATCATAAATTAATCACGATTAATCGTTTCACCCCTAGCGGAAAACCGTTGTATACGAAGCAGGACTAAAGAACAGCGGACCTGAAGGAAGAAGTTGGAAAGCCACATAACCCCCTGCAGCGTCACTGCAGAGCACGGCTTTACTTACCTTTCTCTCCATTTGTGAACGCCCCCCTGAATGACCCGCCTAAGCGGACCTCTCCGTCCTGGAGGTCCTCCAGAACCAGGCCTCTCACTGGGATGGGCTGCCGGTACACCTGGAAGCAGCTCCTGTCGTTACGCGTCACCGGTCGGGTCAGAACCAGCAGTTCGGAGAAGAGGAACACGTGGAGCCTCTGGAACGCCATTTCAATGGAGAAATGAGCTTAAATCGTTCAGATTACAGTTCCAGAGAAAGGTGAGGTGACGAGAGGGGGCAGCCGCCGTTCTCACCGAACCGCTCTTGGTCCGAAGCTCGCCGTGACACAGCAGGGTTTTACACTCCTGTATGAGAGGGTCCCACTGCTTGTCATCCAGGAACTCCAGTTTGTCTATGTAATACTGGCACTCCGACTCCCCTTTCGTCACGTTGATGTCAGACAAAATGTCCTGAATTATTGTGATCTGGAGGCCAAATGGAAGAACGATTTGGAAAAGTGGCAACGAGTGAAACACAGTTCCAGTCAAAGGTTTACATACACTCATCAAATGTTTCACTCATTTGGAGCTTTTAGTGAATTATGTGAATGATTGTTGTTGTGGTGTAGAGTGGCAATACAACTCTAATGAGTTATAAAAAGAAGAAAAATTCAATATTTACATGCATCCAATAATTGAAGAAATGTCTTTCAAGACTTTGCATAAAAGCTACATGTTACATGTAGTCAACATGAAGCTTCTGGCATAATTTTAACAACTCTTACAGAT